ATGAAATGTTTGAATTTCATTTTGAAGTTTACAAAATGCTCACAAATCAAAAAAACCCATAAAATATACTTCTATTTTGCACTCCTGTTTATTAAAATTTTCTAAGGAACTTGAGGCAATTTAATAATACATTCCATTTCCCTCCCTATCTCTGTTTAGCGAAAACTGTAGCTATTGACAATATGAGTGCTATACAGAGAGAGACTGAAAAAAATCCCAACAAAACAAGCAAGTGACATTGGAACAGTTACTGAGAAGGAAGGAATGACTCTACTTTGGGTGCATAATGGCAGCTTTTGTACACATAGTTCTGGCTGAGCTCTCACAGGGATCTCTGTTGCAGAATCTCTGGGTTTTGTTGGCCCAATGCAGATCAGTCACACCCCAGCCCTCCAAAACAGCCCGTGCAGCTTTGCGGAGTGCAACAGCAGGAGAACACTGAGAACGCCCTGGCAGCTTCACACAACCTGAAAATACCTGGTTCAAGTACTGATGGAGGCGACCTTATGAGATCTGAGCCACTAATCACCCAATGAAGTTTAGCTGTGAATTGAGGAAGTTACCTGCTCTAACCTGGCTGACATATTTACAGCTCTCGATCTAGTGGAGGACAGTGTACATGTCTCCTCCTGTCTCTAATCCTTGTTTACTTGCTCTGTTCTCATGAATCATTGCAGTTCTAGTGTTTAAAAAATACCCTTTCTGAAAATATATTGCTTTGGGATTTTATACAAATCAAGTTACCAAAATGTTGATGCTTGGATTTCATAAAAGTATTGATATTTCATGCACTGGTTATAAAGAATGTAATACTCTGGCAGTGGTGCTACAGAGAATAAAAAGGGAAACAAAAAGGAAAATCACAAATCCATCTTAGATGAACTAAAAATTTACAAGCACAAACACTGTTTTGGATCATATTTTCAAAATATTTACAGATCAGGATTCTTTTGACCTAAGTGCCCATCAAGATAAGCATGAAGAAAACTATAGAACAAAGCTAGGAATACATTTAAAACTTTATGCTTAATCTGCAGTAAAAGCAAATTTATTGATTTGGATAAGACATGCAAAACATTTACTTCGGACCCGTTGGAGTAAAATATTCCAATTGTGAAAATTTTAGAAAGCTACTTGAATGCCACAGGGTGCAGGACTCAGCCTTGGTACCACTGAAATAAATAATTTATATTAACCAGTTCAGTCCTAATTTGACCTTGCTGGAATTTGCAGTTAATGTGGTATATTTGCAACAGGTGCGACCCATGCCCAAGTCATGCAGTTCTCCCTGAATGTTCTGCGATCTCTTCCATGCACAAGTTTGACCTGGAGGAAGTGACTGCAGTGCCACTGTGAGTCAGATCGGAGGCCCCCGAGTTCTCTCTCCTCGCACTGTACTTCAGATGTTCAGCCAACTGCAACCACACCCTTATGCTCACACGTTTTAAACCAGAAAAGTGAGATATTGCCACGTGCAAAACGTGTTAGTGTTACAACAGCACTTAGGACTAATAGAGTTCTTTTTGATAACATAGTTTATTTTACTTCCTCAATATGCAACTTGGATTGCTAACATATAAAGCTGAAATTAAATAGCACTGCAAGAAAGGACTGTTTTGTCATCTCTTCCTTTGTTTTGTGAGCAAGTATCATTCCTCCTGTGGTGTGACTTTCTGAATCAGGGAAATAACTATAAGGAGTTGCAAAACATTCATTTTCCTATGGATATCTTTATCTACAACATGGAACCCCAGGTTTGCTGCTGCTGCTGCCACTGAAGAACTTAAAAGTATGTGGGTAGTGGCACTCCAGTTCAGGAGCAGAAGCCACTGTACATACTCCTACCCACCCAATGTACCCTGCCAGATCAGTGTCCTGTTCCCATTCACTGTCCCACTTCATTCGTACTGCACTTCTTGGGGCAGGAAGAGCCCGGCCCCAATCTTTCATGTGAGGCAATACTCAGTTTTGCTGGGGGAACTTCTAATGTGAATCTTGTCAAGGCATTGATGAAATAGCCTCTGAGGCTGCTAACCTCTGCAGCATCCTCATCTGATGAGAAACATTGTTTTGGCCTTTCAATATGCTCCAGGAAACTCTCACATCTCTCATAGGATACCCAGAGGGTGTTTTACCAAGTTTAATGACTTTAAACTGAAAGAGGGTAGCTTTAGATTAGATATTATGAAGAAATTCTTCACTGGGAGTGTGGTGAGACACTGGCACAGGTTGCCCAAAGAAGCTGTGGCTGCCCCATCCCTGGAAGTGTTCAAGACCAGGCTGGATGGGACTTTGAGGAACCTGCTTTAGTGGAAGGTGTTCCTAACCATAGCAGGTTTGAAACTACATGATCTGTTGGTCCCTTCCAACACAAACCATTCTGTGATTCTGCAGTGTCCCCCTGAAGGATCTAAGAAAATTGGACAGGACTTTCTTAGTCCCTCCATATCTGTAGCTGCTATAATGCAGCTGTGGAGAGCAGAAAGAGAAAAGACAAGTAGTTATTCTCCAAAAGGAATTCTTCAAGGCAGCAGTGATAAAAATGTTGCTTTTTCTTCTATTTTTGAATTTCATTCCCATGGTCTATCCTCAGTCTTTGGTGAACTTGAAGATAGCAAATTAGTTCATTCTTTCCCATTTGAGTAAGACTGCGGCTATCATGGGAGTAGGCGGGGGAGTTGCTGAAAATGTTCATATTTGCTTGGGGTATTGTTTGAGAATGTTGTTTGTGGTGAACCCATCAAAGATACCAAGGATTCTCCTCAGACATGCAGTGAGAAAACAAGAAAATATGCTTTATTTCTGTTTGGCAGTCTGGAGTTACCAAAATGAAGAGAACACACAAGCTTTTAGGGTGTCATAAGAAAGCTGTACTACTGTGCAGTCTCTATGGCAAATTACAGCATTAGGTTTGGCTTGTTTTCCTTTTTAGTCCAGGACCAATGCAACATGCCTTGCAAATACACAGAGTTCTTCAGCAACCCAAAGAGGCCTCTGGAATAAAGAGGAGGCAAAATCTATAAATACCATAAATTATCTTTCCTTTTAGCAATAATTGTAAAAGAAAGAATTGACCAGGTTATTTGATGCTTCTTTGCACTGGTTAAAAGTTCAGTGGTTGAGCAAAAGTGGGAGGGGGATGTATTTTCTGTTCTGTGTCTTGGTGCTGCAGCAACCAGGCTGTATTTCAAATCTGTACTCCCTCATCAATCGCTGCAGCACCACCATGTCATGGGAAGCAAGGTGGTGACTTAATGAGAGCTTTAGGGAGGAGAGTAATCAGCACTGCAGCAGAAGTAGAGGAAAAATGCTGGGAAGTTAAATAGCACTTTATATGTTCATCAATACACATTTGCAGAGGGCTGAATGGTCTGTAAGCTCTCCAGTAGAGCTGCCCTTTTGAGCAATGGGAATTAAGCAAGTGGTTGGAGCCCAGGGTGAGGAAAAAGCTGAAGAGTATGGTCTGGATGAATGTACTGCTAGATGGGTAAAACTGGATGGATTGCTGGGCTTGAAGAGTAGGAATCAATGGGTTGATATTTAGTTGGTGACCAGTACAAACAAAACAGTCTGGAGTCAATACTGGTGCCAGTAACTTGCACACAGGATGCACTTGCAGCAGATTTTCAGACAATACTAACTTAGAAGGGGTGGTTTTCAAACCAAACAGCGGAAGTTCAGTTGAGAGGCCTTTGAGAAACTTAAAACCTGGGTCAACAGAAATCTCATGAAGTTTAATGAGAAGTGCAGAGTGTACAGATGGGGTTGGACAGTGCCAGGCACCAGTGCAGGCTCAGGGCAGCAGCAGCTGAAAAGCATGTGGCTGTCACAGCGGACACTCAGTTGGACATGAGCCAACAGGGTGTTTTCATTGCGAAGAAAGTGAACCGTACACTGAGCTACATTAGGAAGGGAGCATGGACAGCAGATGAATAGAAATTATTATCCCTCCTTATTTAGTGCTAATGAGTCCACACCTGGGATAATATGTCCCATTCAGGGCTCCCCAGTTCAAGAAGAATTTCAAGAAACAGGAGAGGGACATGCAGAGGGCTGATGAGATGGTAAATGGCTTACAGCACATGACTTGTGAAGAGATGTTGAAGAAGTTGGGCTTTGTTTGCCTGGCAAAGAAGAAAATAAGGAGAGATCTGATAACGATCTAAAACTACCCGAAGGGGAGCGGCAAAGATCGTTGAGCTGGACTCTTGCCAGCAATAGTGAATGGCAAAACAAGGAGCAAAAGTCTGAAGCCGAGTCCATGGAGTTGTGACTGGATGCCTGTGATTGTGCATGGGTGCACCAGAATCTGTCAGACTTGGTTTACATCTTATTTTGCTGGATCAGGCGCCTTATTCATCTTTGCCAACAACTGCACTTTTTCTGATACGTTAGAATTGTCTTTCCCATTCTTACAAAACGGACTTTCTCCTTACTGAACATAGTTTGTACCCTTGCTGCTAGACCTGCACAATTTAATGGTTAAAATTCAAGTAGGTCCTTACATACTCACCTTCCCAAGAGACAACATAAATCCAGGCTTATAGCCCAGAACCACAATGACACATGAAGCAGAACTGCTGAAGCAGTATGACACAGCTAAGTGAATTCTCCATCAGATCAAATCTCTGTTGGCACAAGGATTCAGGCACGCAGGCAGTATCTCAGGTACTGAAGGCAATGTGGGGTTAACAGCCAGTCAAATCTATTTCTGTGCCAGATTAATAAAGCACGTTAGCATGTTAGATAATTCACAAGTGCAAATATATGTCTCAAACTTGAGTAATAACATTAGTCAATAACCAGCAGATTCCAAATGTCAAATACCTAGCATTATACCATTTAAGAAACCAGACTTCAGCCAAAAAGCTAATGCCAAGGCTAAATTCTGGGATAAGAATGCCCATACACTGTTGGGCAAGGTATTTTCTGTAAAACACAAAGGAACCAAGGAATATGTATATTTCAGAATGACACGCATTTGCAATGCAGTGTCATAGTCTTTTAAAATGACAAATCTAGTTTTCTTTATGAAGGAGAAATAAATAACCCAATCACAAGTCTCTGACAGTAATCCAGTTGTTTATTGTGGGAAAGGATTATTTTTTGAAGACTACAATGCAAAGTAGTGTAAGTTTTATGTAAAGACCGAAGCCATAGCAACAGCCCATAGTCTGCCACACACTTGAATCTAACCCAGATAGAAGTGTTTCATAATGATATATTTGGTAGACTAAATACATAATGGAGCAGCATATTTTTTTAAATTAAAAAATAGATGAGATTTTCATGTGTAAACAGCAGACAGACCAAAGAGTCAAATAAAAATGTAGAAAAAAATATATAAAAAGTCCCAAACACATATTTTAACCCCTCTAAAACCAATTCTAACAGATTCTGTACCACCATGTCTTGGACATAGACAGCATTAATAACACCATTAAAACATTCCTGTTGGCCTTTCCTCATTTTCTTTTCTCTCAAAGTACTTCTTACATATTCTTGAACAGTCTTCATTTATACTCCTCCGTGCACTGCTAGGACATCAAGATTCTCTGACAATGAAAGTTTTGTATGGTGGCATAAAATCACTTTAGCCTGAGTATATTCACTGCAAATAATCAAAACAATGAATTGCAGAATGTATATCTAATTAGTCAGATTATTCAGAAAGATATGACCGAGGTGTGAATACTGGTCTGAACAAATAATGTATTTCTGCAGCTTTTCTCCTAAGGGAGTAATATTTTTGAAACTTATTTATTACACAAATACGGTACCATACACTGAAACTTTCAAGCTTCATTCTTAGGGTGATTTAGCCGCATAAATTCAACGAAGAAGTAAACATAACGGCCGTTAAAATCTTGATACTGGCTGATTTTATTGGACTATATCCTCTAACTCTCTGAGATGTAAATTTCCGGCGATAACCTGTGCAGCAATAAACTTCATTCAGCCACAAGAGTGTGCATGTGAGAGGATTGCAAATCTGCTCCGCCAAACCAGAATTAGCCGGTATCGCAGGAATGAAAGAGCGTGGAGATTTGAAATTGCAGGGAATGGAGACAAGGCGGTGCAGAAGACGAGCCGCCTGGGGGGCAGGGGGCCCCAGACCAGTGCCGCACTCCAATGGAAAATAAGCCCCGGGGCGGCGAGCAGGGGCGAGGCTGAGCGGGGCCGGGCGCAGGTGGACACCGCAGCCCGCAGCAGCTCTCGGGGCTCGGGCTGGGCTGACAGCGGGGGCTCGGCGCCGTGGCGGGCAGGGACGGCGGCGCTGGCGGAGCCCGGCGCGGTGAGTACCTCGGGAGGAGCCGGGAGCCACCGCACCGCACCCGCACCGGCCCCGGGACGGGAGCGGGCAGGGACCGCGAAGCGGCAAAGGCGCGCAGGGCTGGGCTGGGCTGGGCCGGGCCGGGCCGGGCCGGGCCGGGCTGTCCCCGCACGGTGCAGCGCGGGCAGGGGCGCGGGGCTGCCCGGGGACTGCGCGGACCCCTGTGATCCGCGGCGGGCCGGGAGCGCCGCTGCCGCAGCCGCAGCGGGGTAACTCGCGGTCATCCTTTGTGCTCCGCGGGCGGGCGGTGCCACCGCCGCGCCGCCCTCCCGAACGCCGCCCCCGCCGCAGCCCCGCGGGCCGTGCCCGGGCCCCCGCCCTGCCCTGCCGTGCCTTGCCCTCCCCGCCACCGGCGCTGCGCTGCCGCCGGAGCAGCCCCGGCGCGGGCAGGGGCGGCCGTGCCAGCCCCGGCGGCGTTTCGCGTAGGTGAACCTCACTGGAGTGCTGGGGGAAGGCTCAGCATGTGGAGCTCCCAAATCTGTTATCTTGGGGCGAAAAGTACATCCCCTGCCTTCGGGCTGCTCCCGTAACCCTGTACAAAACAAAGGTGCATGCCTGGTAAAAGCTGACCATTCCCTTGGCAAAGCTGCCCGTTCTCTTGGGAGAAAAACGTTTTACTGCCTGAGCCAATCCCTGCAGTCCCCGGGGACGTGGCACCACGCGTGGGTCGCACCGCGGCAGAACAGCACCGAGGGATGGCCCAGGGAGGTCAGAGCAGGGCTTGGGAAACAGCTTTCGGGAAGGGACAGCAGGGCAGCAGCCCCAGTCTGGAAATGGAACCGCTGCCGACTTCATGCAAACTTGTGACCCTGGCAGTTAGCCTTTTGAACATTTAATTTCCCCGATTCTGTATTCCTTGCTGGACACACACTCCTGCCACTGTGGCTCTGACTGGCAGAAGTGGCCAGTGTCCGCATCTCCAGTGAAGTCGTTGACAACTGAAGTGCTCGGCGTGTTGGCTAGGTGAGGTCAGACTGACAAAACATATGAAAAACAAAATAAACCATGTTTTTAACAATGTTTTTTCTGTATGCCTTCAGCAGACAAATAATTACATGTGGTATGTCTACTGGGAATATTTCAAAGCAAAACTCATTACTAGTTATAATACGTTTTTGAGTTATCCATTGGAAGTGTCTTTAAAGTATGATTTTATTCTATAACTTTTAACACTGAGGCAGTCACGTGCTAGAAGAGGTTGCCCAAGTATATGTCAATTATTCATCATATGGACTTTATATCAAGATCAGATGTTTTTCAATGATCTAGTTCAACTACAGGCTAGAGAGCCATAGCTCCACTGATAGTACAGGGAACTTGGGTGTTTTGCTGCTAACTATGGTCTTATTACAGCACCTGCATTTGTCCCTGAAATAGCTCATGAGTCAGATTTTCAAAAAAGCTCAGCATCTTTGCAGGCACTACTATTTGGGCCATTTTTCTAAGAGCTCTGCATACTTTGTGTGCATACAATCCTAAAAGCTTTTCTGAAAAAAAAAATCTAGGTCTTCTCCAGCTGACCAAACAGGAATCCAGATTCTCCTGCCTTTAAATGCAATTCCCTGTGAGGGGCTGTATTCAAACATTGTTGCTGTGAATGGGTCTTCACTGCCTTTCTTATTGGGGAAACTGGCCTGGCTGTCTAGGGTTTCATAATTACAAAGACTCCCTTGGGCTCCTCTGCCTTTCATGAGACTGTTTTTGGCTGTGCTGTGGTGTGGGAAGAAGGCTGAGGACAGGTAAGTGCATTTCTCCTGGGCACAACAGGCCATGGGGCGATGAGTCAGTAGTGGGAAGGTGATCCAGGCATCCAGTCCTTGCTTTATCGAGAGCCTGAGAGTCTGTGCAGTTATTGGAGATGACTTGCCTGCTTTTGAGTGTATTCACTCTGAAATTGTGACGTTAGGGAAAAGTTAACAGTAAAACAGTAATAATAAGCAAGAATCCAGTTCAAAGGGAAAATATATGCATTTTCTGAAGATTTGTGGAGGTTGATGCAAGTATGACATTAACTTGCATCTACTCAATCTAAGCCCATTCTGTCAGTAAGACTGCAAAGATGAGTGTCATATCTTTGTAGCTCAATGTCAATTATTTTTGCTTCAAATAATTTAAAATATGTAAAAGATGTGTCAATTTGCTGTCCAAAGAAGAAAATTTTTGTATCCAGTATCAGGATTCAGGTGTGCACAAAACCAGTCAAAAGCATAAAAGAGAAAGGTGAGGCCCCACATTTAATCCTGACTCTGAATTTTCAGTTACATAATTTTATATTCCATTATCAAAGGTGTACTGTAATATCCATCATACATTTTCATTAATCTTATGCAGAGCATGTATAATAGCTTGTGATTTTCCTTCATTCTGGTATTTCTCATGATTTCCCATTAGCATGATTATTCACTGTGTTTATTGCCTTTATGCTCTTAGTCTTCTTTCTTGTGAGTGGGCTGAATCCTCCATAGTTAGTCCTCTAAACTACAGCAACAGGGGATCTGGCTCCAAGTACATTGTTAGGAAAGAGTTGAGGTGTCACCTTTAAGACCTACCCTTTGTAGAGGAAGGATGAGCTATGATTGTAACTGAGGCTATCCCAGGCTGTTGTCTTATCGTCAAAAAACAAGTCTGCCCCCCCACATGGCTCTGCCTGGCTCCCCTGTTACCCTTCCTGCCTCAAACACCTTGCAGGACCTCTGGAAAGACCTCTAAGCACCATCCCCATTCTTCCTGTTTCTCAGTTTGGAAAGCAAAAGCCTATGAGGCATTTCAGTACCTGTTTCCACTGGCAGCCAAGTGTGGACTTATCAATCGATCCCAGTTTATCTGTCCATGCGGTGTTAAATGTACACAAGTTCTTGTTCTTCCTCCCTGTCACCAATACCTGCCGTGGCCAAATTAGGGCTAAGGAGAACTTAGTCACTAAAGAGTATTTGTCTGTGAAAAATTTGATGCCAGGATTACAACATATTTTAGCTCCAGCTCACTGTATGAGGCAAATCAGTGTGCTCTTGGAGGAGCCTATGTGTCCAAGCTGCCCTTAGTTACACATTATTACCTGTAGTGCCAGGAAGGGTCAGGTGCCACTTGACTGCGAAGGTAACTTACCCAACAGTCAGGCTGGGGAGGTTACACGTGTCAACAGGTGTTCACTGGAGTCTGTGAGAGAAACAGCTTTGACCAGTCTGCTCTGACTCCATCTGTGTATCAGCGTGGAATACTCCAGGGCCATCTCTCTGTGTTCATCTAGCAATCAGAAAAAAAGTAAAATAGTTTGGAAAGGTAGTACCTTGAGAAGCAAAATGCAGTCATGCATTTAAAGACAAATCTTCATTTGGTACAGAATATGAGTTAGTCCATTCACTGCCCGTTTGCAGCAGTGAGGAGCTAGCCCAGAAACACACCTTCTGAGGGCTCACAGAATATATAAGGAGCTTTCTTAAACAATTTTTGATAACTTTCTTCTCTGTTTCAACTGTCATGAAGCTGATGTTTCTTTTTATTTCTCTGGAGAAGGAAAGACAAAAAATTACCATCTCTAGTAAATTGTATCATTACATTTCTAGTCTCCATGGAAACCTATGTGGTGCTCCACAGTTGGGTAATATTTCAATCTGTTGCAGCAGAAATCAGATGGAGGGAAGGCTGAGTTCTGCACCTTGCATGTTAATCAATTAAAAATGGTCTTGAAATTATTTTCACATTGTGTTGCAATCTTTGTTTAGAGTAACAATAGAATAAATTGAAGTAATCAAATTAAGCTAAGTATGGCTTAATCCTATGTACACTGATACATAACTCTGCCTCTCGGTTTGATTCTGATAGGCACTGACATTCATTTGGAAGAATTCTTTGGTTTTGGTAGGATTATAAGGCTTAATACTATGGAAACTGAAAGCATAATAGCAAACTGTTTGTCACATTGACTCTAGTAAAAAGCTTCCCAGAGAGGTAGTAACAATCCCCTCGTTGTGATTTATGTAAGCAAAGCATTTTGGAAATCAAGAACCTTAATTCTTTATGTTTTGCTGTCTTCATTCTTGTTCTGCCACTGCTAAGGAAGAAATACATCTGAAAATTGGTTTCCTCTGAAAAGATGGGGTAACTTCATCTACTTGCCTCTTGAGGATTTAATTTCTTTACTCAAAGCTTTCTGAACTTGAACACAAAGGCACAAAATCTTACTGTGACAGCAGAAGTTGATACAGTGAAGAAATATACAGAGAGAGACCAGTCTTTTTTGTGACCACAGTCAACCCATGAAGAGTGAGTGCTCTCAGCCACCTGAAAGTAAGTAGAATCTATAGTAATGGAAATAATGCAGCCTACTCTTAGCCTGTAAATACTCCTGGATAGACAGCCATGATAATAAGGTACACAAAGAAATAAATTAATTGGACAATTTTCTAAGCATTTTACATTTGAACAATGAAATCACAATATTAACTTGAGAACTGCACTAATAAAAGTGGTGTAATATGATAGGGATTTGTGGTGTTCACTGTAGCCAAAATACAAAGTCTGATCTTTTTGTGTGTATTTTGTAGGTATTTACTGCATTTGTTTCAGAATACTGTGGAGAAAATGTATGCTAGTCGAGAGGATATTGGGTATGATTTTGGAGACGACTCAAAAGTTGGAAGTAAGCCAATTAAGCCTAATCCAAACATCGATGGAGGATGGGCTTGGATGATTGTATTTTCCTCTTTCCTTGTGCACATACTTATCATGGGTTCCCAAATGGCCCTTGGAGTACTCAACATGGAATGGCTTGAAGAGTTTAATCAAAGCCGTGGCTTAACAGCGTGGGTCAGCTCCCTCAGCATGGGCATTACACTGATTGTAGGTATGTTCTAGCATCAGTTACTTCAAAACTACATACATTTTTAGAATATGTTTGCCATTCATCCCTAAAGTATTTTCTTAGTTTCCCATTTTATTAGCAGAGCTGACAAAGTTGTCCTGAGTTGCCTTTTTAAAGTCCCTAGGACAGATTTTACAATTTAGATGGAGAAGGGGAACAACAGGGAAGATGACAAGGATGTCAGTCAGGGAGACAGGATGAGGAGGAAAGGAAGCCTGTGACTTCAAGGTTTCACTACAATTAAGAAAACAGATGATCTGTGAAGCTTGGGGTCCTTCCTGAACTCTATCTAGGAGGAGAAAATGTTGATTTCAGTTCAGCAGCTGAATTAAAACTTACTTTTTAGGTTGTGGTTGAATCAACCCAAAATAATATCTGGAGGATATGGTTACATGTATATGTATATAGACACCTATGGCTCCCTAAATGAAGACTGAAAAAGCTGTGTTTAGATCTGCCTAAAATATCCCACTGAAAACAAAATAAAATGTTTGCTTTCTAGTTACTTATGAAAAAGGCCTGCACTCACACAGCATCAGCATTGGGAACAGCAGTTTCAGCTTTTTCCTCTGTTTAAGCTGTCTATCCTTCATGAGGCAACTTTGGTTTTAGGTCTTGCAGGTATTTGCTAAGTATTTGATGAGTTGGTCATATTTTTCTTTCTATAATTTTAAGCAGTAATATGGAAAATAAACTGAATTGCACAAGTTGCCTGATGTTTTACATTTTATTTAAAGCATTACGAAAGTCAATGTGAAAAATTACTAGAGCAAATTATTAAATAAATAATTTATCTTTTTTTTTTCATGTTTTTTAACAGGACCTTTTATTGGTTTATTCATCAGCATGTGTGGGTGCCGCCTGACAGCTATAATTGGAGGGATACTGAATGCCCTGGGTTGGATACTGAGTGCCTATGCCTCCAATGTGCACTACCTCTTCCTTACGTTTGGAGTGACAGCTGGTAAGAGCTGCACTAATGTTTGAAAGTTCAATTACTTTTGATTCCTTTGAAGGTTATCTGGGTGAGTCAAGAGGGAAGTTAGACTGTAAAGTTATTCCAGCTCTTCTTTCACAGTCTTTACAGCCTTTTATCTTTTTAGAAATCTTAATTATTTACTCAGTGGATTGGGCTTTTATCAGTTTTACCCAAGTGAATATATTAGAGGACATGTTTAATTGGAGGAATTAATGTAACCCAAACTCTAACAAATGAAAATTAAAGATGTTAAAACACTGTTGAATTATATATATAGCTAACTCCTCTCTTTGTCACAGGATGAAACAGCAAATGTTTTCTCCAGGAGTTGCTCCACATTAATAAAATACCGGATTATGATAACTATGTACTGCTTTAAAACTAAAGGGTGAAGTGGGTTACATCTGGTAGGCAGATAAGCTTTATACAGCACTTCTCTCACTCTTCCACAGTGGGATGGGAGAGAATCAGAAAGGTAAAAATGAGATAAAGACAGTTTAGCAGTAAACTAAACTAGCTTTACTAATGGTAAAGCAAAAGCTGTGTGCACAAGCAAAACAAAAATAAGGAATCATTCATTACTTCCCATGGGCAGGCAGGTGTTTAACCTGTCCAGTGAAGGAGGGCTTGGTCACGTGTAGCTGTTACCTGGGAAGACAAATGCCACAACTCCAAATGCCCTCCGTTTCTCCTTCTTTCCCCCAGTTTTATTACTGAGTATGACATGAAATGGTGGGGGATATTCCTTCAGCCAGTTGGGGTCCCCTATCCCACTGCATCCCCTCCCAGCTTCTTGTGCTCCCCCGGCCCGTTCACTGTCAGGGGATGAGAAACAGGAAAGGCCTTGGTGCTGTGTAAGCACTGCCCAGCAACAGCTAAAACATGCTGTGTTATCAGCCTCAAATCCAAAACACGGACTGTATGAGCTGCTAGGAAGAAAATCAAACTCTATCCCAGCCTCAATTAGGATAATTCACGATGCTGGATTTCATACTTAATTTCTAATAAAGGATATTCATATTTTATCAGCAATCATGTATAGCAACATATAGTGCTATGCTTTTTTACAACCAAAATGACCAAAGTAATATTATGTCATTTTAATTGAAATTAGATGTCTAGAAAACCTTTTGACTTGTAAGACCCTGATAAAAATATGAAAAGGCATTTTTCTTCAAAATCAGCAGATCCTTAGTGCCTGAATGCTCATGTTCTAGCAATAATGTGTCTTGTGAAAAAATTTACTTTAAGTAAGTTATGTAGAATAGCCCAGTATTATCTGCTTAAAGCACTACTTCATTTTATTTACTGTTCATTTCTGCAAAGAGATACTGTTAATAGATATGAAACAGAAATGTAAAAGTTACCCAAGTAAGAAATATAAAATTTGGGCTTTACTTATCATCTTAGCAACACTGAGCAATCAAGGGGCTTTGAAATATTACTCACTCCACAGATAACATGGCCAGCTATGTTTGCAAATGAAGCAGTGTCTGTATTATATGTGACAGATGGAAACGTTACGAAAAAAAGGAATTGTTTGTAATACTAATAATAGCTTCAGTACCCGGCATTCTCTTAAACTGTTCTTTCATAGAATTTCATAGGAAGCTACAGAATTTCTATACAGAAATTTTGATTTAGCCTTCTGGGTGGAGAAATATTGAAACTAGCAAGGGTCACTGTACTGATTCTTTATACCACCATACCATAGACTTCACTAATGTAAATTCCTGAACAAAGAACATCAGCCACAGACAGGGTTTTGCCTTTTTCAGAATTTCTGTTTCTGTATATATTGAATATAATTGAGCAGGCAGGAATCTACATATTTTTCCCTCAGCCCTTGCTGCTTTTCAGGAAGAGCACTCACAAAGTGACAAAGATTATATGGAAAAAATTCAGAAGCAAACTTTTATGTGAGGTGGAGAAATAAAGTGCTGTTGCAGGAGTAATTCTGGCCAGAAAAGCAGTACCTCAGATGTTCCTTCCAGCTCCATGAGACCTCCGTTCACTGTCCCCTGACTCACCATCTCCTTGACTCACCGATCCCTGGCTCACCACCCCCTCACACATGGTTTCCTCACTCACCCCTTGCCTCAGTCTCTGCCCACTCACTCCCATCCCCTTGCTCACAGTCACCTCATTCCCCGCCACCCCAGGGAAGTCTCTACCATGTTCTCATGGCTGCTCTTCCCTTACAGTGGCCGCCTCTTGCTACCATCACTTCTGGGCCCCCATGCTGTGCCTGTGGGCTTACTCATGGCTCCTGCCTTCTCACAGGATGTCCCTATAACCCCGACCGTGTCTTCTGTCCACAGCCAGCCTGCTGCCTCAGCCCATTCTCGGGGTGGTTACCTCAGGGTGGGTCCCCTTCCCCAGCTCCTCACAGTCTGGTCCCCTCACCTCCTGGCTGGCAGCTCCAGCCCAGCTCTGCGGGCTCTCCTCCCCTCAGCGGCAGTGTGGGGGCAGAGGAGCCTTCTGCCCTCACCCGTCCTGGAGCCGCTGGCACTGGCAGGCCCTGTGGGCTGGGGGCAGACTGTCCCCGAGGCCCTGCATGGCGGGGGCAGAGCGGAGCTGGCCCTGACCAATCTGTGAGGAAAAGGCAAGGAGAGACCTGCAGCCCCGTGTGTACCTGTGAGCCACGTACGTGAGGCCTTCACTTGTAGTCAGACTGTCTCTTGCTATGTAGCCCACAGAATGAAAAGATAACACCATTTTAAAATGCTGTATTCTTGGGGAAACACGGTGAGCACTGGTGCAAGCAGGAGCGGATTCCTCACTGCAGCCAGCAGTGAGGGGCAGGAGAGCTCCAGGGCAGCCTAAGGAGCAGGAGGTCCCCAGGGGGCAAAGAGGCCTCCCTGAACTCTGTGGCTGGGGAGGGACATTTGTGCAAACTAAAACCTGGTTGTGTATTTGCCTAGCAAAGAAATAAATACTTTCAATAGGCAAAATGGGTCAGCTCCAGTCATGGTCACTGCTGCGATGCTGAAGGGCTTTTTTTCAGGCTTTGCTGGAATCAATGCTCTTTCTCTCACCTAGCTGTAGCTAGATCATGCTGTAGCTGCTTGCAGCTGTGTTATCACCTGTTTAGGAAAACTTTTAAGCCCCAAAGCACTCTTCTGAATTATGATCACAGTGTATTGGGAAGCATCTTCTGCATACACCTGTTCCAGTCCAAATTCCTCTATGAGGAATAGGCTGTGAGAAAAAATGGGCAACTGTCTTCTTTAATGATGAGTTTGCACAGCTCTTAACACCTTCTGGTTACCAGAATACCTTGAATACCTTGGTTTTTAACTACAGGTGAGGGGGTTTCTACAAAATTAGAGATCTACCTTTTAAGACTTACGCCTGGGCAGCTACTGTGTGGCCCTCCCTGGACTTCCTTGGAGTGCCCATACAGAACCAGCCTGGAAGCCACCCAAGGTCCCACCACCATGCTAATCCCTGGTGCTGACTCCTGAAACACATATCGTGGTCACTGCGGCACCACAGTTACAGAGCAAGGACAAAAACTCAGTGTGAATTTTCACTGCTGGTGAACTTAGGGAAAGCAGCAAGATGTGCTCACTAAGCAGTTCGGGTCACTGATACAATCAGATGCGGGTACTGCAAATGCAGAATAGGGTGTGTCTGTGTTTGTCCTCACGTTAACTGTCCCTGATGGGTTGTGGCACGTTTGTGCCCTTCCAGCAGTGTCATGCTGAACTGAGGTAAGGTTTTATCTTCCATGTGTTTAAGTTTTTCCAGCAGTTAAATATCTGTTTTGTATTCTCACTGGAATGAGTATTGCAAATTTTGGAAAACACTACAAGACAGAAATGAAAGCTGACATCAGAATTGAATATTAATTAATATTTATTATTGGTTTTACCTGTATGCTTACATAAAAGTTAGGAATAAAACTGATCTGTTTTTCACTGCTTTTTACATTGTTGGCAAAAAGTTTAAATTTATTTAGGTTTTTTTTTTATTATTTTCATAGGCATTGGAAGTGGCATGGTTTATCTGCCTGCAGTGGTCATGGTGGGGCAGTATTTTCAGAAGAGAAGAGCACTTGCACAAGGGCTCAGTACCACAGGAACAGGATTTGGAGCTTTCTTAATGACTGCCTTACTGAAGTACCTCTGCACTGAATTTGGGTGGAGAAATGCCATGTTCATCCAGGGTGCCATCTCTCTGAACCTTTGTGTCTGCGGGGCGCTTATGAGACCTCTCTCCCCCAAAGACCTTAGTGAAAAATCTGTTGCGAGAAGTAGTAGTGAAGATAATCAAGCAAAAGCTCTGTCCCATTCTACAGAGACTATAAAATCTAATGGAGTCCTCAGTGAAGAACCAGAGAAAAAAGAAGAGGCAACAAATGAAGAAGTGCTTGAGAGTGTTCAGCACATAGAAATGGGAGGTAACTCTGGGAGCGGAAGGAATATGTATGGACTGCGCTTGCTTAAGACAGTGAGCCAGCTGACACTTACAGTCAGGAAGGGCTTTGCACTATGGTACTCCAGCTACTTTGGAGCTGCATCACTGTTTACCAATAGAGTATTTGTGGCCTTTATAATTTGGGCTTTGTTTGCCTATAGCAGCTTTGTCATTCCCTTTATTCATCTTCCAGAAATAGTCAAGCAGTACAACTTATCTAGGCAGGACAATGTATTTCCTTTGACATCCATTATAGCAATTGTTCATATTTTTGGTAAAGTGATCCTTGGAATCATCTCTGATCTGCCCTGCATCAGCACATGGAATGTCTTCCTCATGGCTAACTTTACCCTGGTCACCTGCATTCTTACTTTGCCACTAATGCAAACATATGTTGGCCTGGCTGTGGTTTGTGCTCTAATAGGATTTTCCAGTGGCTATTTTTCTCTAATGCCTGTTGTGACTGAAGATTTAGTTGGAACTAAACACCTTGCAAATGCCTATGGCATCATCATTTGTGCCAATGGAATATCTGCATTGTTTGGACCACCCTTTGCAGGTAAAAAGTTCAAATTGCTAAACAACAGATGTTTGTATGATAACTGTTGTTAAATTTTCTTGTTATGAGCATGTTTAGTTAACAAAATCACAGCTACTCCAGAATGGACTATAACATCCAGCTTTAAATTGTACAAATTCACAGATCATATCTTCTGGGTACCAGCTCAGTATTCACACATTGCAAATTCGAGTTCTTGGAAATAACCCCAGATTTATTACAATCTATGCTCTCAATGGTATGTTTTCCTAACATAGTGTCATGCACTTTTTTTTCAATTAGAAAGGTGTAACCTATTTTTCTGTTTTATGTAGTATATGCACTATACTTACCCATTCCTCTACCACATGAAAAAATGATGATTAGTTCCCAGGGCAGGCAGCTGTTTGTACCACAGTATTACCCCCAAGGACTGTGGGGTGTGTTTGGGTGTCACCACTTTAAGCTGCCAGTGGATGTGTTGATGTAACTAACTTTGCTTTGCCTTCCTTCAGCTAGAAATACTCTGGAGACTGCAGTGCTCATAACCTCTTTACTGCCATGCACAGCAGAAGGTAGAAGTGTATGTATATTATCCCTAGTTACTTAGGTTTGAACAGACATTCATTATGAATTTTCTCATAGAAAGAGGCAGGGAAGTGCAGAAGAGATATGGGTCCTGATTGTCAGTACTGTACCAGACTACAGCTCTCTTTTACAGGGATGTTGGTCAGAAGAAAGTAGAAAGAAACCTTGATAGTCTTGGCCATGGTCAGCCAGGGATGGCCGTGGGCTGAAGGGAAGCCCCTGGCAGCACAAGCAGCCCAGAAAAGCGAGAACACCTCCTCTGCCCACTTCTGAGTCAGAAGAAAGCTCACTCAGTGCCCTTTGAAAGCAGCAGTGTTTCACTCTGCCATATGTTCCCTCAGCACCTCTCAGTCTGTGCTGAACGTGGCTCTGTATTTGGTCATTGGTTACAAAGCAAATAGGATGCAAGTGGTTGATGTAAAAAGAGCTGCTGATCTTGTGGTCTCATCGTAATGCAACCAGCGTGACATGAGAGAATTTTGCTAGTTTGGGTTCTCAAACCTTTCTGAAATAACTTTAATGTGTTTTTGCAAAGGAATTGAGGTTGGAATGAGAGTCACTGCAGCACTGAGATTATATCTCTTTTGAAAAGTCTTTTATTGGTATGTGAGTCTTTGAGGAAGCTATTGGGAATGTGTTTGCTTGCACAAGGCAGAGCATTTGAACTGGGCAGTGTTGGGGCTTTCACAAAGGCAGTAGTAGGGTGGAAGAACTGATTGGTTTGGGATTACAAAATGTCTATTTTAAATTCAGACCTGTGACAACTTGTTTGAAAATTGTTTGTTTCCACAAAACATCTGTGGATTTGGCTGAAATGTCATCAGAGAAATGTGAAGTATTTTTTGTATTTTCCCATGCAGTATACCTTGTTGTCAAGCTTTGTAACAAACATGTTTTGTCCTTATTTTCCAGGTTGGATCTATGACATCACACAAAAATACGATTTTTCTTTTTACATAGCTGGCTTGCTATACATGGTGGGAATAATATTTTTACTTATACAACCTTGTATTCAAAAGAAACAACCAAGACAAAAATCTACAGAAGAAGCACAAGTATAGAACAAATTCCAGAAGTTTTTTTACAGAACTTTTTTGATTTCATGTTTCTATTGCGTGACAGTATGAAGATGTTTTTCTTATGAAACCAACCACATTAAGCTGTACTTCAGTGAAAAGCAAATGTGCTCCATGATGCTAATAAATTATGAGAAACATGCTTTTAAAATTAGTTAAGATCTCTTACTTTAGAAGTACCAAATACAGTGATTAAAAGCACACTGCTAGTCTTTTAATATCAGCACAATGCTAGTAGCCTTTACCCTTGCTTCTCTTTCAGCTTTTCACCACTAACCACTGGTGAGAATCCATTGACTGCAGTGCAGTTACTCCTGATTTACACGCGTCCTACGAGAGAATTTGGTCAGGACACGAATGATTTATAAAGGTCCCTCCTACTATGTGTTCAGTCTGATAGTTACAGAGTATAAGAAAATGATTGTATTTCTTGCCTGGCTTGTCAAGTACTGTTGAAATGCTAGTATAAAAATGCCATTAATTCAATGTTTTAAAATTACTATTTCTGTGATACAAAACTGAAGACAAGTTCTTATATTTTTCTGAAGTGACTCATTTTGACTTGATGATCCTTGTGTGTCCCTTCCAGCTCAGAATATTCTGTGATTCTACTTCAAGGATTTTTAATTTTTTTTTTTTAAAGTATCAACTGCATAATAAAGTAGCCATCCTCAACACACAGGCTGCATTATAAATGCTGTGACACTTAATGCACCTGAAGTAAAAAAATCATAAATGCAGAAACGGGAAACATATGGAAAATATTCTTGTGACTGGAAAATGATTCCAGAAACAGTCTGGGGTCTGTGGGCCCTTTACCTAATTAGAGGTACTGTAGAACTTCTTAACATTGCCACTGAGTCCTTCCATGGGAAAGAGCTCTACTACAGCAGACTAAATTCTGTTACAATTACTTTAATAACAAAAACTGTTACATTATGAGCAGTTGTGTTCCTGCTCATAATGTACACCATGAACTGAATAAGATTGGTCATGTTTGAGAAGTTTATTCACTAGAAAATTAGATGCTGCAGAGCATAGAAGAGCTAAAGAACATTTGAATTATTCAAATAAATTTTCTTAACATTAAGCACCTGGTCACCAATGCAGAAGGTGTTGTATGGTGGGACAGGGCATAATTTTCAGCTTTGAGAGATGAATCTGATGTTAATTTTTCTATCAAAGAAAAGCCACTGTATGTTATTATCCTCTTAGGTTTATGAAAGTTTTTTGCATGACAAATCAGGTTCTTAGTATAACACTGATATGTGCTGCTGGAATTCCTTAAAAAAACAATTGATACTATTCAATTATATTGAAGAACTATTAGACACAGTTGAGTATGCAACACTATCAATATACTGATCCTCTTTATAGCTGCAAGATTGGCTGAGAAAAAGTTCTGAACCACTGTGTGTATTGTTCTATATTGCAATTCACCAGCTTCTTAGTGTTGCACTTCTACAACTGTTGGCAAGGACATATTTTAAATAGATCACTGAAATGAGCCAAGTTAAAAAAAAAACCTTAAGAAAACCCTGAACTACTTTAAGATTTAGATCAGTTCAATCATATAGTAGTTATGGATGGCCTTTAAAAGTCACATAAAACAACTGAGGTGGCACTGAACTGCAACACATGGTGTGAACACACAGTAACTTCTTAAAATCAGCTTTTTTGTTGGAGAAAATGTTCACATAAACTTTCACATCAGTTCTTTGTTACAGGTTTAATGTCTTCTTGTTGTGAATGCTGCTGATAGCTTATTTTAACTGAGCTATCTTTTATCTGTGAAATATATATATTGAAGTGATGATTTCCCTTATTTTCCTTTTTTTCTTTTTGAAAGATATGTACCCTTCATACATAGATCTTCACTTTGTCTTTTGTCAAAAGTAACTTTATTTGCATATTACAGTAATAAATAATATGCTGTTCACTTGTGATATCTGCATTATATCTTTCTATGGGCCATATGTTGGGAATAAAGTTACATTACCCAAAAATACACTTTCTGTTCATTTATTAATTAAGTTAGGACAGTGTTTTATCCACATAATGAAATTTGTATTTGTCATTATCCTAAAATGAAAGAATCACAAAGAAGAAAGGATATATATGTGTTTCTTCTAAGATCAACGATCACCAAATGCTTCCAGAATATTGGTATATACATACATACATATATACACTCTTAAGGAACAGTTGTTACAGTCTTGAAAGACAGCAAATATCTCTTATCAAATATGCAACTTGAACAATGGAAGTAAATTAGTTCCTGCATCAGCAGGATGAAGGAAAGACGTTTCCCATTTGCCATCCTGGCAGAGTGCCTCTAACATGGTGTTGAAGGATTGTCCAAGATGAGGATGATCATCTGATCCACACTCTCAGTCTCCAAAGAAGTTTCTTCTTCGTGACAAAATTATTATTTGTTTGAAGTTTAGATAATTAATTTAAAAACATTTCAACACACATCAAACTGGAAACCAGCTACATGTTATTGGCCTGTAAACACTGCAGGTTTACCATGGGGGACAGTAAAAGGCTCAGTGCTCAAGAGCAATTTTTCTAGTACGAAGTGATAGATGCTTCTGTAAAGGTCCTAATGACAATGGCACAGCATCTGCTATAAGCCATGGAGCATGGATAGCAGATACACAAACCAGAGAAGTCAGAATGAAGAAGTACAAAGAAGCCACAACCATTTATATTACTAGTAACTGCTATGATGCTGATTGTAACACGGTTTCAGGATGCCCAACATATTAAAGATTGTATTGTTTACATGTTGCTCCTAGTAAGACATATTTTGGTTTTCCTCTTTCAATCCTTAAAAAAATCTGCTTTCCTCAGTAAAGAAGTCCATGTGTTTGACCCAATAAACAGCAAACCCGCACCTTACAATAATTGCTTCAGTGAAAAATGCACCTTTATTCAGTTATTTGTTCTGAACATCTTGTTTCTGCCTCCTCCTTCAGTTGACATATGTGTGTGAGGAATGGTTTCCAGCCCACTTCCTGTGCCAGCTCCTTCATTTCAGGTGTGATTGTGTCACACAAGTTCTCCACAATAGTTTCCCATAGCACACTGTCCCATAGGTAGTTGTAAGAGAAAGTAGAGGGTTAGAATCATAATTTGGCTTACTAACTGCCAATTATTCTACTACACAGAATGTGTTTAGACAGCACAGAGGCCTTGTATTAAGGTCACTTGCAGTGTGAGCTGCCCACTTATCTTGAAAGGCATAGTTTTAGTTAAAACTCACAAGATATCAGTGGAAGTTTTGCCCAGAGTTGCCAGTGCAAGATATCCCATGTTGTTCTGTGAAAAATCTGAGAAGGTGCTTCTGGTATGATATCAAAGGCCTTTCTGCCACACTAAAAGCAGCTGTAATGCCATATCTCCCGGTATGTAATTCATACACCTGCTCTGAAATCAACCAAGCTGGGTAAGTTGATGCCAAAAGACTTGTCAGATATAGAAATCACATGAGAAATTCAAATCTGTTTTCAAGGATGTAAGACAAGCCTTGGGGCTTACAACAGAAATGTCATTTTAGGCAACTTTCAGAAGTACTGTAAGGATTAAGCCTGTTTTTCAGGAGATGCTTTGCTTTTTCAGAATGACTCCATAAAAAATCAGGTAAAAATATTATAAAGAGGAAGAAAAAACGATGTAATTTGTTAATGACAGAACTATCACAAAAAAAATTAGGAAGATACTCTGTGTCATTATATATTATCTACCTATTGTAAGTAATACAAGAGCACAGCAAAACTGATTTTTCCCCAAGCATTCCACTTCTCTACATGTGCAATTGCAGGGACCTAAGTGCAGTTGTGCTCGATGACTCCAATTCAAGTGGCTGGTAAGTGGTAACAGAAATAGAACAGCGAAAGTCCTGGTATAACTTGTGTTACTGCTGATGGAGCTGAACACCTTAAACTGTTTAATTCACTGCCTACAGAAAAGCTGTCACTGTACGTGTGGACTGTTTGTTCTTATGCAGGCACACACAACATCCTAGCACGTTTTAGCAAAGGAAAAGCAGGGATCATTGAGGCAAAATTGCTGTAGAAGTGCTGAAATGAAAATATACACCTTTTAAAAGTTTTCTTTGAATTTCTGCTTTCTCTCTGCCTCTCCCCCATTCAGCTTTTCCCATGAGAAATGGACACCGTGAAGTTTAAAATAGCAGAGGCTGGTTTTTAGTATCAAATGTTTTTATTTCCAAACACAGTGTTCTGTTAAAAAAAAAAAATAAATATAGGAAGCAGAGCGCAGCCGCTCCCGCCGTTCCCGCGGATCTTCCCCGTTCCCCGTGACTCCGGCCGTGCCCCGGGGGCCCGGCGCCCTCTGGCGGCGGAACAGCCCCGCAGCACCGGGAATTCTGGAAGAGGCTCGTCCCAAAATAACCGAAACGAGTCCCACCCTGCCCTTGTCCTGGGACAAAAATATAAAATCGGAATACGATATTTTATAATTTCACAGAGAGCGGCATTACAGCCTACACATGAATTACTTTGGAAATGAAAGCTCATATTATTGGGGCAAACTTTTAATTCCCTAAAAATACTTCTGAAATGAGAGAAAGAGAACCTACTAGTTCTAGTAGGTTATTTCATTTTGCCAAAATGTTATCTTTCTTATCATGCAACTTAATTCTTTCTAGCATTTCCTTAAATTCCAGAATATCCAAGGTTTTATGTTAAACTAATGAAAAGTTTACTGCCCTGCACAGTACCTCATCCCGCTCCACTCGCAGTCTGCAACATGACAGATGAATTCCAAATATACTAACAAATAATTTCCTGACCTCTCTTCTATCCATTCTCTTCCTCTCCTTTAGTTGTTTTTATCCCCTTATTCTCCAACCAGTTGTTTCCCAGTCACAATATCAACTGTTTTATCTGCAAACTGAAGTAAAGCCCAGAACTCAGCAAGCTTATCTACTCCCATCTGGCCTTCATCTCTAAATTAATGACATGCTCTATTTTCCTGACTCGCCATGTTCTCCTGTGCTTTCTTTGCACTGTCTCCTATTTCTTGTGCTCACTTGAACTCTGTCTTGCTGAAATATCTGTAACACCTTTGCAGCCACACCACAGGCACAGCAGCACAGCCACGTCCTCTGGGACTGCCAGCAGTCTGACACACAACTTGAAATGTTGACCCACGTAGCCTCAAAATAATAGAAACCCTGGGAGCAATCTCATCCTAATACAGTTTGGAGATGTGCTCTGTACCAGACACATCCCACTCTCCACACTACACAATTAATCCGTGTCTCTGAAGTCTTTCAGAGTGTATCTAGTTGTCACAGCAGACTCAAGACAACTAAACCTGGTTTTAACTTTTTCATAAGGTCTCACCATTACTTATGTTTTCATTAACTGCTCAACCCATAACTTGACAGGCTTCATTCTAGGCTCCTACAGCACCCTTGGGGATAAGAAGTTATTTTTCTCTTTAAGGCATTTCTCTTCCTGTTTTTCATAAGCTAAAATCTTTTTCTCCCCCTACTGGAGTTATTGCAGCAGCCTTTTCTCAGGCTCTGACTGGGATAGAAAATACAGTTTTGAGGTATTCAGACCCACAAAAATAAGCTTCCTAGATCATAGCTCTGAACACATTATCTTTCTATCCCAATTTCCTGACCCTGCACAGACCAGGAAGCTGGAACAGATGACCTCTCAAAGGCCTTTCCAACATGACTTTTCTATATGAAGGACTTTTCAATACGAGGGACAGATTGCCCCTTATTCTTCTGCAATGTCCAGGCTACCCTTCCAATTCGTTACCCCTCATTCAGCACAGGGAGGCTGCTCTGAGCTCCAGGCAGCCAATAGTGGTGACTTCTGTTATTCTCTCTTTAAATTCAACATGTTCATACTATTTCCCATGCTTTCCTGATAGCTGGAAAGAGCTTCCTAGCAAGCAAGCATAAAGTCATCTCTTTCTCCTCCTGTGTTTCTTACAGTTTCTTGCTGTGAAGTCTAACAAAAAAAAAAAAAAAAGAAAAAAAAGAAAAAAAAAAAGAAACAATCTCTTTCCTTGTGCTTCTGTCTTTTGTCACAGATGTAAATGTAAGGAATGGCAGTGACTTTTTGTTTGCTAATGAGTCTAACATAAGGGGATCCCAGGCTGTGGCTGAAGTTTCTAAACATTACAATAATAAGAATCATAACACAAAGCAAAGGTTTTACATTTCCAGTACTTAATCCTGGAAGTAGTGCATAACATCCAGCCACGGGTGGCAATGGAATTGTCTGCATCGTTGTGTTCATTATAAAACAAAAGTTTGCAGGATAAGCACTGTCTCTCTAAGATCTAGCTTTTACTGCTCCCATTCAGTTTGATTCATTTATTGTCTCAATAAAGAGACAACCCTTACTTTACTTTACTTGTCTTAAGTAAAGCAGACAGATTGACAATTATGTTAAACCAATGAGATTAATCAAAACCAACATGCCAAATTTTTACTGTTTCAGACCAGTGTGAAACTTGAGAAAGTCTGGCAATATCTTCAAGCTCCAGAAAGGAAATGATGTACAGGAGCAATGGGACAGGAAGCCGTTCCAGGAAGTCATACTTATCTCGGCACAGATTCCAGAACTTTGGCACCAAACAGTACAGGGAAAAAAAATGAAACCAAACCCAAGTGACAACAGACTTGTAAAAGCCTAAAATTTCTTCTCAATAATCTCAAGTTATTCACATACATCTTTAAAAAAAACCAAAACCAACAGTCAGCTTATTTTTTTACGTTTTCTAGAGAAAATAACATTTAACATGAACATCCAGATCCATTTTTGGATCCACTTTTCCACATACATATAGATCTTTTTACATAATGACTGTGCTAATTACTCATTATATGACATTTTTTTGGCTCATTCCTTTATAATCTAATACACCAAATTCTCTTTTTGTAGGTCTCCTACTTAGTGAGCTACTCCCCATCGTGCAGTCATACAGTCAATTATTTCTGCTTCTGTGTCCAACTTGGAACTTGGCCTTTTGTGTCTAACACTATTTCTTCAGATCACTTATCTATTTTATCAAATTGCTGTAATAAAATTACTAGTTCATTATAAAACAGAATCCCGAATTCAATTTGCTACACTTCTAATGAAGATTTTGATTTCCTAAGATCTAACAAAATGAATGCAGTCATCCAGATTAGTACAGGACTTTTTTTTCCTTTTCATACACAATCAAAATTTAAAGCAGAATTACTATTTTTTATGTTGGGAAATTTTTTCTAATACATCCAGAGTGGTGTCTTTTTATTGCTTTGGGGACTTTTTGTTTGTTTGTTGGTTTGTTTTTGTTTTAACTAACTAGAATCTATCTTCTCATGTACATTAGAGTGACAAAAAGAGAGAAACAGAATCATGGAAATTAAAACTATACTAACTACAGGACAATTTTGATGCAGCCGTTTTCCTTCCAAAGTATTTTACAAGATTAGTTACAAAATTCAAGCTTATGTGACTACATTTGAAAGAGCTTTGAAAATTACATGACTTCACTGCTAGGATGTTAAGACACTTCTTTTTTCCTCCCAAATATTCCTGAGGTAGCTATGGAGAAGGAAGCTAATGCCTTATCTTCCTTCACATCTTTGGGTAGGTGGCCCAATATTATGCAAGCTTTCATTTCCGTGCTGCAAGTGCAGTTTGCTGTCAGTTCTCCTTTGCTTTTTTGCTTTCCAAGCATGTCAGTTCTATATGGTTGGTAATTTTCCTCAAATTCCTTATGCAAGTACAAAATGATCCACACAGTCAACTAAAAATGGTTGGGCTGATTAATTCAGGCTGGTATGTAAGGATGATCCAAATCTTCACATACTGGGAATGATGATGATGATGATGAAATACACTGAGCATGTATTTCATGTTGAAGATTAAGCATGCTACCACATGAATATTTGAGTTTTTCTTTAAAATTATTTATTTCTAGAAATAATAATGTGATCTGTATTGGCTGTTTTAAAATATATTTAGCTGTGTTTATTTTGCTTTATTAATGTATCTGCAGCTAGTGATGAACTAACTGTGAAAATCTGCTGAACTTCAAGTTTTCTATGAAAATTTCATCCTGTGAGTGCTGGAGACTATTTGATGACTTGTGCTGTTTGCTCACTCATCCAGAAATATAAGTAGACCTCCCTTCTCTTGCTCGACACTATCATCAATTTATTTTCCATCACTGCAAAACCATATATAAAACCTTGCTGTACCCTCTTGGCTTGATGGAGATTATGAAAAGAAACTAATGATAAGTTATTTCACTGTCCAAAAAGAACAGAAAACATTTAAAATCAAACACAGATGTTTATAGGTGTATGGTAGTTACTATAAATTTACTAAAATGCTAATGTTAATTGTTTAAGTACCTTCCTTTAAAAAAAACAAACCATGAAAACAGATAAAATCTTACAAATGAAAACTAGGAGATAACAACAGGAAATACCAATACTTAACAGGAAAACATTTTGGTGGCTGGGGTATGTACCAAATATTTAGCAGCAAACCATGGGTATGATGATGAGTTTTTTCTTTGAACTCTCATTTGGCAAAAAAATCAGTAAGGATAACTAGAATATTATTCCAGTACATATTTATATATATATGTGTATATATATATATATATATATATATATATATATATAATTCCTGTATATATATATATATATTTGTGGAGAATTAAGAGAAAAAAATGATAATTTGTGAATACTTAGGAGCAGCAAAGCTCCCCTTAACAGGAGGTGAGGAGGTGTAAAAACATCTGATTGTGTGGAACAGCAAGAGCTATGGACAGAAATAGTGTCAGGATAACAATACAATTTCTCACAAACATAGTAATTTATTCATATAATACTTCTATTTATATTAGCACTTTTCTGAAAACAAAGCACTTTTATCTTATATGATAATTTTAATAAAAAATAGAGGGGAAACCCCCAAATTTTGAGATTATTTTAGAAGGAAGAAATGATTAAATGTTAGAAAAGAATGGCAACTGTGGCTTTCAATACTTCCTATGGGACAGGAAGACTCTGAACCACCAGCAACACTTTTCAAGAAAAAGCAGGGAGATCTTATTTGTGACCTACTGAAAACACACAGAGTAATAGTAGAAAACTGCATGTTAACAATAATGTAATCATTTGAATCACTGTACCCAGGTAATGTAAAACAGATGTTTTATTGTGACATCATATTAATATCAAATGCTGCAGGAAAATCTTACACTATAAGCAATGAAAAAAACCCACTAAAATCCTTCTCACTAACATATATTCACATGTCAAATCTACTTTTATGAGGTAAATAAAAACAACCCACCAGCGGTAAACAAAAAAAGTATAGAAGACTACTACTTTGAAAGCTCAAGTTTATAAAAATTGATGATCAATTTTGCCACAAATTAAAATGTGGTACAACTCTGCATCAACTAGCAATTATGAATGTCTACTGCAAAACCCCAGCATATTTAAAGACACCCTGAGCCTGAGCCAAATCCAACAGGCAGTCCATTTTCTATTGGTTCAGGATACATTCATTCCCCTTCTAGTCAAAACAAGCAGTAATAACTGGAATTAAAGATTGGTTTTGTCAGGGGCTCTGAGTGCTGATTGAGACTTTTTCCATGGTTTGTGCACATATCCAGCCACTTGAGCTTAGAAGGTGTGGTGTGTCCATCCCTGGAACGCTCACAGTGCTCACTCGCAGCCTCCCACCCCACTGGTCTAAGGAAGTGTTACTGTTTCTATCAAATCACTTGATATCGATTGCAAAAGTTATACAGGGAATGAGAAACACAAATCGAACAAACACAAACCTAAACATAGAAGTGCAGACCACGCTAAACCACCAGGGCTAAAAATCTCTGGATTGTGCCGTAGGAAGTGTTAGATTTTAATAAGCAAAGCATAGGGAACATGTTGGTCTTATCCAAGACCATAAATGAAGATACAGCCAAGTTTATTCTTGAAAAGAGACATATAATGTTACGCTCTTCCCTACCACCATACCACTTTCCCAAAATTCATATACTTCTTGGGAAAGCAGACCTCCTCCACCAAGGAATAAATAACCATGGAATCCTAGAATCATCAAGGCTGGAAGAGACCCTCAAGATCATCTAGTCCAACCATCAACCCAGCACCACCATAACCACCCCTAAACCATTCTGCAAGTTTCACATCCAGACACCTCTTGAACACTTCCAGAGACAGTGACTCCAGCACCTCCCTGGGCAACTTACTCAGATAAGATGATGATTCAATAAGATGATGTCTACTGAAACTGTTGATGAGAAAAACAGGACTTCATTTGAAAATTACACCTTTCAAGTTCATAATAAAAATAGGATAAATATGAAGTCACATCTGTAACTATTTTTTTTTCAATATCTGTACACAAACAGAATACAAGGGCAGTTTATTTAAAAAAGAATAAAATCTCCCCAGTCCAAGGTGTCCTGTCAGGTCTCTTGGGCTACAAAAGCCTCAGATCTCAACCGCAGTCCCTGCAGGTGCAGTTATGAACTTCTCCATTTCCAGACTAGGTCATAGTTCACCTCATCTATTCCCTCCAGTTAGTGAATTAATGTGTCTTTGGCTTAGTAGTTTCAGGATACTTTCCTCTGTGAGCCATGATCATGATCAACCATATCTTGTGCCATGACCATCTCTTAAAGTTAATCCATTACTGAGAACCAAGATTATAGGAAGATGCAAAGCAATAACTACTTGGGACACATAGTTCCACGGAACTTTGGGGAAATGCATCATTATTCCAGATGTTCCCAGTGGTCAGTCTAACTTTGAGGTTTATTTAGTGGTGTCTCCACTGCCTTTCTCTTTCTGGCTGTAGCTCCTGAAGTCATGTTGCACTTGCATAGTCCCAATTACCTGCTGCATTTGTGGTTACTTGTGTTAAATCAGATTGGGAATCCAGGTGGCCATAAAAACAAATGTGCTGCCACAGAGCATTATGAGTTATTAGCCATAAAAATATTGCTTCCTGGCCTATTTTTGCTGCTAAAATCTCTGTCATTGTCTTATAATGAAACTATCAGTGTTGCTGGGATCTATAATATATTTAGGTTTACTGTCACAGCTTTTTGTTTTTTCCAGTATTCATACATTAATTTATATTAATAAATTCATAGGAAAAAAGTCTATTAGCCAAAGCAATCACATCTTTCAGGAAGTTATTACAGACCAATATTGCTATGTTATTCCATTATATGCCACCACAAATTTGTAATTTTTATTATCATCTCACTATGAAGAGATGAATCATCAAAAAATCCTCCTGGGATTCTTTAATTTCTCCAGGTCTTAATTGATGAAATTCACTCCTAAGTGACCACGACTGTGGAAGAAGAAAAAGAAAAAAAGAAGAAATGAGTATCAAGTACCATGAGATAAATACTCAGATTCAGGTGTCAGATTGTGAAAATATTACTACAGTCCCAAAATAAAGTTTTTGTAAGAGATCAGACCACGGTTACTTTACCAGCAGCCCTAAAACATGCTTCAAAGGACAATAAACATCCCATAATGCACCTAGAACAAGTGTGAAATGTTTTTACATACAAAGAAAATGTTCCCAACCCCTGCATGCAAATTGTTTGTAGAAATAAACACACATTTAAAGACATCTCAACTGGCAAAACTATAAACATTCTGGTTTTGTTTTTCATTTAGTCATAGAAACACAATTTAACCACATAATTTAATGCCTGATAAGTAGAAATACCCATTTAACTGCTCAGGCATTCAAAAGTGGCAGTGTTAGAAGTGACACTGTGATTTTAACGTTTTGTTAAAATCAAAATTAATAGGACAGTTCAAAGCTCAGCACTTAAGACTGTCTGAAAACTCTGGAAAAGGCGCTCCAGAAGTACATGTTCAACTCACATTTTCAGAGACAGAAAAAGAAAATCTGCATTACAAAGCATGCAACTGAGAGAAAAAATTACTATGAATAGTAAATTAGGTAGCTATGAAATGCTGGAGAATAAGTGGCCCTGACTATCATTTATTTTCCCAGAGTTCTCTTAAAACATTACCTGTGTGCTTTAACAGCTTGCCAGCTTTTAATATTGACTTTCTTTTTGTTGCTGTCACAGTTGGGTCTACAGGAGAGGAAAGCCATAATCACATTTCTCCCTTCACACTCGTAAAGATCACACTCCAAGCCACAAGTAAGATTCACTTGCTATTGTAGGCAAGGTTAAAAGAACACATATTCTAGTCTTACTAATATTAATAGAGTTTATTTCCTTCCAGTTCATTGAGAAAAGTGAGGGGTTTACACTGTCATATCTATAGGTGGGTTCCTGATACAATGAGTGATACAACTGACAAATGAGAATATTAGTGAGGTGAACACACACACACATACATGTGTATATAAAAAACAAACTCTGTAGAGCTTTATTTTTTCTCCTGGCACGTTGAAAAGGCAAACTGAAAGCAAGCCTTGAGTTAACAGTCAATACTCACATATGCTGACCGAAGAACACAGAGTTAAATTTACCATTACAAATCAGATCTGACAACAGTGTTTACATCTTTCAACATCAAATTTAACTTTAGATCTCTCTGGTATTTCAGTGATAAAATGTAGATTTTAAAGTGGAGAATTAAGTATTTGTAACTCCCAATGAGTTGCATTCACTTTCATCACTAATTTTCAAATTAAAGCTCAGATTCCAGATGATCTGCTAAGACACCAGTCATTTCTGTATTTTTCAAGTCTTTCTTTTACTTTGTTAATCTCTTAGCTATAGCAACAGTAAACAAGTTTGAATAAAGGCTTAACATCTACATTTGAATGTCAAATATAGACAGCTAAAATTTATCATTTTGATGCCTATTGTGGCTAATACATCATTATAGGGGGTAATCAGAATGCTAAATCATATTTCTGATTGCATACATACAGAATAGCTTCGATTACAGCTCAGACATATCTGCAATACTCTGTACCCTTATTATGTGAATAAATGAAAACAACATCCTACTCAGTTACGTAAGTTCATCCTATTTTACAATACACACACAATCTTTATTCATTTGAAGTGAAACAGTTGCCTCTTTGAAGGCAAAAAATATTCATCCAATCTGCATTTTAGAATTTAATATACGAAAAATAAACGACACCACTGAAACATTTGATCATAGCAGAATTAACGGTTCTGTAATGTGCATGCACAATATAGATTCCCATGTTGCTAAAGTAACATCATTTCATATACTAGTGGTAATATGAGGATTCAATGCCAAAGTGATTGTAAAGCCCTTGTCATTCTGTTTCAGAGACAATTTTACTGCCTGGGAAGGCTTTAGAACTGGTATGTTTGCAGCCCACCACGGGGATAATAGGACAGTGAATGCTGTACTGTACTTCCAAAAGCTCTTTTTATCTCTAGCAGTGGAGGGAGAATCAGCATGTAGGGCTACTGCCATTCTTATTTGTGGAAAACACGAGGTGAGAGTAAGGTCAGAACAAAACTGATATGCAAATGGAGAAAGAAAAGACATCTTTGTAACACGTTCCTCAGCTTGCACACCCTTCTACATGGTATGCAAGAATACAGTATCCTATAGGGAAAAAAACCATTGGTAAAGGAGAAAAGGAACATGGCTAATAGGCTTCCTCTGGGCTTTTTCATGTTACTGGTGGAAGTGACATTTATTAAAAAAAAAAAAAAACCAAACCAAAAACCCCCATTTCTCAGCATGAAAATGCCAAGTGTTACTGAAAAAGAAAATAGTTCTACCTGCCCCCAAAACCACTTGCCAATGATTAACAACTGTTGCTTTCTAACTTTTGAACAATGTTCTACAGATTAAATCTATAAGGTTGTACAGAAAATGAACTACACACAAGTCTAATTCTTAAAAAAGCAGAAATATGTTGCACAACATTACAATGAGTAAATTAAATACATTAATCAATACTTTTCAGTATGGGATATACAGTACAACAGAACAAAGTGTATACAGATAGCAGATACTCAAATTCTGCACTGGTGTAAGCAAGACAAACTTTTCACAGCAAGTATTCCATGTATTTTTTGTTTAGTATTTTGTGCGTGTGAGTGTATCTATCCATAATGTAACTTTAAGTATATGTGAGTGTACAAGAACGCCTTTAATCCAAACACTAGAGTGGGCATATGTGTCTATAGACTCCTGAATAAGGTTTTTATCTTTATACAATCCAACAAACTCTAAAATGAAACACTAAGTCAATACAAATGAAATACCCCTGTGCATTACAACAGATGTTTTAACATGGCTATAAAAAATTACTTTCTTGCATTATTGTGTGCAAGTATAAATTCCAAAGCATTTTAATACTAATTTTAAAAAAACTACAGCAATACATATTTCCATAATCTTACCTCCTTTTAATGGTTATACCAGGAAGCACACTGCAGTAGAACTCTCTGCCAAAATGGAAAGATCAGGCCAACATGCAGAGGCACAGGAAAAGTAAAATATTCAAGTAATTTTGTTGAACACCACTGTGATTTTTCTAAGCATTATTCTTTGATTTACAGTGGAACAAACTGTCAATAGCACTATTCCATTAAAAAACTTCCTTATGTACAAATACCCAGGACAATCTGCAATTACCTTGATAATTTCTTAGCATGTGGTTATTTCAAATAAAAATAATGCATAGACTTTGTAGTACCTATATTATTTGCATAGATTAAAAAGATGAGGAATGGAAAGTGTTGTAAGTGCATCCTGGTTACCATGGACACATTCCATTCTGGATGTTATTTGGAGGTGCAAGTGTTAAAGCAATTCACTGCCACATTGCTTATTCTGTTGGCATTTCTTCGTGAAAAAAGAGAGAAGAGGAAAGGATGAGCAAAACCAAATCTAAACAGCAGCAACCAGACAAGGCTTCAGGTAAAAAGTCAGAGGAAATTTTTAAACAAATAAAACAACCAAAATATTTAAGTGAAAATTAGCAAAAAAATGAACTATTTAGTAAGTGTATTGTCAAAATTAATCTGGACTGTAAATTACCAGAAGCATAGTTACTATTTACATAGTATGAGAAAAAAATATTTGAAATTTTTCATATGGTGAGCCATCTTTTAAGGATGCTGGGCTCAACCTTCCCTTAATTTAATCAATTTTGAAAGTTATATAAGTAAAGACAAGTCTCACATGACAGACTCACATTGTCTATTGAGAAACCTCTGGGGGAAGGTCAAGACAGACGGTGTGAATTGTGAACCTCTGTACAAAGGCACATACAAGGAACTTCTTCCTTCCCCAATACACATTTTTAGGATTTCAAATTTCTCCAGACTCGGCTGCAGAAACTCAAAATATAATTCCTCAGATTAGAGGTTACAGGGAGATTAATTTTCTCCTTAAATTGTTCTCCTTTAAATAGCTAAACATTCACTGGAGAAGGAAGGTGACTCCAGAATCTAGAAAATAGCGTTGTTGAGACTCAGGAGATCTAGAGTCAAACATTTTCCTCTGTCCCAGGTGAATGGCCTAAATCCCCAGTCTTTGTTTTCACCCTTGGATTTGTCAGTGCAGTCCAAGCTCTCATTTCCCTGTCCAGTGAAGGAGCCCTTGTGCCTTCTACTGAAAAAAAAGTCATGTTCTCTATTAGTCTTAGTGATTTATCTCTAAATCCCTTCTCCCAGACTATTTTATCTCATATTCTATTAATTTTCCATAGATTAAAAAAAATAAATCTCTGCTTTTGGCTGGATTTTGTAGAGTGGGGGAGACCACAAAAATTTGATTTCAAAATTAGAGTATTCAAGTGCTTCTGTCCTCATTTTATCTCATTTTCTCTTGCACAATATTGTTGCATTTTTACTACAATTTCAAATGAATCTATTGGTTTTAAAACAATCCATTTTCATGTACCTTGGTATAGAAATTGCCCATTTTACCCTCACATAAATCTGTACAAAATGAAAGTGGAACAAATATCAGCATACTGAAATATCTTAAAGGAGATAACTATAAAATAGATATTTCTAAAGTCATGATCTGTATACCTAAATATTTTTGAGTCAATTGGTTGCTTGAGGCCAGTATCTTAGTTGCCTAAGAATTTGTAAACCTAGGCTCAGCTTCCAAGCCATGAAGTCAAATGCCTTTGAATTCTGAAATTAATTAGCACAGTGAAAACTACCAGCTTACGTGCTTCCTTCATCTGTCCAGTGCCTGTCAGTGTAGATGCAATTTTACTTTTGAAAAAGCACCCCTGCTGGAATAGGTTTTTCTACTCTAACATAGTCACAGCTAATCGAGAAATTGATACTATGGTACTGTTTTTTTACTTTATAGCAGAGTTTTTCACACAGTTGCAGCTACATCCACACTACAGCTTTGACTGTGTAAGGATAAAGGAAAATTTGAGTTGGACAACAGAAACCTTTAGGCTTAGATAAAGCTATGCTCATTTTGTAAGCAAACGAAGCTTTGGCTTCTAGGTCACTTCAAAAATGGGAAATTAGGTACCTTACAATTTTACTCACTTTTCACCAAGAAGAGGCAACTATGCATTGTGTCTAAGGTATGGAATCAGGTAGCACTGCCAGCGCAGAGGGATTTGTGAAAGAACAAAATAAAATCTTAAATCACTTCAGGCAGTGCAGCGACACTGAGGCACTAAAGCAGGGCTGCTTTGATCCCTGGGGGATAAGCTGTGGCACAACAGTAACACACATGGGCAATTGTTTCATGTAAGGCTACAATGGCATATTGTGATTAACTTAAAAGCAAGAATGCAGATCTTGTGGAACTGAAGAATCTGTTAAGACTCCTTTTCTCCTCCTGCCTCCAAAACCAGTTAGATTCTTGGTAAGGAAAATATTTGACTGGCCAAAGGAGATTATTTTGAGCGTCTTGATTGGGTTAATATGAAAGAATGTGAACACTAGGAAATGCAGTCTGGCAGAAGGGACTACACTGGTTTTGGCAGGGGGTGGTGGGGGTGGTGGTGTGTACCTCAAAACTGCTGACAGGTTTTGTCCTGTTTCCTTGGAAAAGAAGGTAAAATGGTACAGTTAATGAAGCCTTCATTTATTTAGGGTTCCCAGAAGTCTCTGAAGGACAACTTTATAGGAGTAAGCACAAAAAATGAAACACATCTGA